TTTGATTATTTGTTAAAATTAAGAAATATTAATGTTCACTGTGTTATAAAGAAGATTAACGGTTTAAAATAAATATTAAATGAAATTAAATGCATGCTTATAAATATTCAAACTGACGACCACCATTTTTCAAAAACAAGCAAATTAGTACATTTTGGTGACACCAGGTATATATACAGGATCTGCAAATGTAGGTATACAATAATGAAAAACAAAACATTGTATTGATTATGTAAACATATCAATAATAAGTATATATATATATATATATATATATATATATATATATATATATATATATATATATATATATAAATCATCTTATAAATATAAGTAATTATACTCGTCTGAAAAAACTTTCGGTGTTTTGGCTTGTAAACAAACAGACCAATACCCCAGGAAAAATAATGAATAAAAAGAAAGAACTAAGAACATGTAATTTAGGCGAAAACAGGTTTGCCTGGCTCTTTAGGTTCCTAGTTATATATATATATATATATATATATATCAACATCATAAATGCTTTCCACTAATTCCGAAAATTAGACAACTTTCGTAAAAACACCAACAAAGAAATAATGTTACGCTTTGATATAAATAAATTGAAATTATTCATGCCACTATATAGTTAGTCTAAAAAATTAAATACATTATATGTTCTTAATATATATATAACTCTAAGCGAGAAATTTCACTTGCTAAACAACAATTGTTTTAAAAGAAAAATGACAGAAAAAAACGGAGACAAATCATTATATACCATGACTAAAGTTAAAAAAAACATAAAAACATTATAAAATACGTATATTAAATACTGTAAATGAATAACATAATTAAATATTATAATATAATAAACAAGACAAGATATAAGATTAATATATGATTAAAATATAAAACAATCGAGACTATATATATATATATATATATATATATATATATATATATATATATATATATATATACGATTAAATAACCCCGCAAAAGCACTATTCGCGCTTTGTTTGATCAGGAGGTTCTATATATCAAAGTGGTCTAATGCACGCTAGATCTCTCTCTCTCTCTCTCTCTCTCTCTCTCTCTCTCTCTCTCATATATCTTCTTTATTTATTTATTTATATATGCGTGATATTCATTAGAAAGCGCTCAATATCAGTGATAGAGCTAACATATTTTTTGCGTTGATGCGAGTTTGTGGCCCTTTGAGTTCGTCAGACGCTGGGGTAGACCATTCCAGCTCTGATAACTGACATCCATTAGACATGGCATGTGGAACTAGAACAGTCTACCCCAGTGAGCTAAATAAGGGGTTCAGTTCGACATTCAAACCACCTGAAGAAGGCCGGAGCGTACAACGACCGAAAAGTTGTAATAAATATGGCAGCAAAGATGAGGACAGTAGTCCGAATAATGTAAATAGGATATATATATGTATATTATTATTATTATTATTATTTACTTATTATATGCGCGGTACTTACTAGTAAGCGCTCTGTACTAGAGATAGAGCTAACATATTTGATTGGATTGGGAGAGTCCATTATATACACATATATATATATATATATATATATATATATATATATATATAATGGACTCTCCGGTCGATTTCGACGTATGAGGATCTGACAGCTTAATTGATTCAGTTATGAAAGTTTGTGCGATAATCTTAAGTGTCATTTAAGACCGGCTAGTGATTTAGATAGGAGGCCACATATGGAATAAGTGTGAGGATTGTGAAATGTGATCACTCTTAAATTGTGTGACCTTTTAGATCTTGCTCTCGCTTCTTGAAGATGATTCAGACATGCAGATTGAAAATTGCTGAGTCCACTAAAACACGTTTATTTCTATTCTACCCGCTCCAAAGCTAAGCGCTCAAGGGTGTTATGTGGTATATTGATTGCCGACAAGTTGCTTTTCAGCAAGACATGACCAGTCCACCGTAACTGAGACTGTATGATAAAAGTCTCGATTCCTCCAATATTACACCTGTTAACAAGGTCTACGTTAGATGTCCTATCTTGAAGCTTAACTCCACAGATTGCACGCAGACAGCTTTTATGGAAAATATCTAGCTGGCGTATATGGTACTTGTATGGAGTCCACTCTGAGCCAAACAAAACGATGGCAAGTACAACAGCTTTGTAGACCCGAATTTTCGTATCCAGTCGAATACCCCGCTCATTCCACAAGCGAAGTTTGTCGAAAGCACTGGTAGCCTTAGCAATCCGATGCACATATATATATATATATATATATATATATATATATAGATAGATAGATAGATAGATAGATAGATAGATATGAAAAATATAGTTTTAAAGTATGCTAAATTTATGGGATAATGTGAATTGTTCAGCCCTTCACAGAAAAAAGTTTGCTTGATTACCAACAGAATCTCAGCAACTGACTGCAAAGGCCCCGACAGGATCATGGCCATAATCTTAAACGCAGTGTTTAGTAGAGTTAAGTGTCTGCAATTATCTAAATCCCCCCAGCACCTTTGTCGTTTTCAACAGCGTGATCACGCACCTGGAGATCCGGTTGAGGACGGACCCCTGGCGTAACCAGTGGTTGAACACGGCAGTCAAAATCGGAACAAAGATATGCGTCAACCTCAAGTACAATTCATAGGTTAAACCGTCACGTCTCGGAGACTTGCCACTGACGAACCTCTTCCTTGCCGCATAAACTTCGCCCTCCGTGATCTCACTCTCACTGCTAGCCGCTTCAGCCTGCGAAAGCCGAGGAAAGTCCGCCAAAGAGCTACGAAACTCTTCGTCACCAGGCTCCCTAGTAAATCGGCTCCCGATATGCCGAGATATGGATGTGCATGCAATAGCTCTCCGTAAATTCCAACATTTTACCATGTTCATTTAAACTACAGCGTTTCAAACTCAAAATTTTAAATTATGCACATTCACAGATATTTTACCCGCTGAAGATGGTGTCAGATGAAATCGAAAGTACTTAGGAAAATAAAAAATATTTGAAAGAAACTTATGGAGAATTTCTACAGCCATTAAGAAATTACTTCGTGGACTTGAAAGGATTAAGACTAAAATAAATAGACATAATACGTGTAAATTATCTATCTATCTATCTATCTATATATATATATATATATATATATATATATATATATATATATATATATATATGTATGTATACATTCAACTCTCCCGTCGAATTCGACGTATAATGGTCAAGCAGATCAGTTCCTAGGAAACTGACAGCCCGACACCAGCACATATGATTTGATTATAGTGGTGAAGGTTTCGTGCAGGACCATCCACACTTTTTTTGAAGGGGTTGATTACAGAGACCTGGGACACTACGTGCCACAAGGTCCCCAAACGACCCTCCGCAGGTTTTGAATTCAGATTTGTCCTTCTCCTAGACCAGTTGCCATCCAAGGCTATAGAACCCAGTCTGTCCTGCTATTTAACCATAGCTGGAGGGAGAAGAAGAGGATTCACACCTTTCCCTAGGCACGTAAGAGAATGTAATGGATTCGACTGGAATTCGAACTCGGCTCTGCGATTCCTCAATCCAAGCCGCTATTCTTTTAATATATATATATATATATATATATATATATATATATATATATATATATATATATATATATATATATATATATATATATATATATATATATATAGTGGCTTCTCCTTGATTGGGGTGAAATGTTTAAAATATATATATATATATATATATATATATATATGGATTTTATTCATCCTATAAACTTTTTATTACGTTATTAGTGGATACTCCTATTTGACTATGCGTTCCGTTTGCGCATTAATCTATGAGAGATGAAAATTTCGCTTGAAAGGATGAAATTGTAATAATAATAATAATGAAGTTTTGACCGCGTGGAAAGATCAGAGACGGTACTTGGTTTCAGTCAGTAAATGAAAGAAAGAAAGAAGGGAACATAAATGTGGAGAGAGAGAGAGAGAGAGGGAGAGAGAGAGAGAGAGAGAATTAGATTAGGCTGTTATGGACAGTTGCTACACTTTGATCTTAGCCTAGAAGTTATAGCAAACGCGATAAAAGCTCTATTTTCCAGACGCACAATATCAACTGAGGGAAACCAAGAAAGGCAATTACCAAAAATGAAAGAAATAATGAATGAAATAAATAAAGAGTGAATGAAAGAATAGAAGAGGGAATGAAAGAAAGAAAGAAAGAATAAAAGAAAGAATGGAAGAAGTAATGAAAGAAAGAAAGAAAGAATTGAAGAAAGAATGAATGAATTAATGAATGAATGAAAGAAAGAATAAAAGAAAGAATGGAAGAGGGAATGAAAGAAAGAAAGAAAGAAAGAAAGAATGGAAGAAAGAATGAATGAATTAATGAATGAATGAAAGAAAGAATAAAAGAAAGAATGCAGTAAGAATGAATGAAGGAAAGAAAGAAAGAATGAAAGAAAGAATAGAAGAGGGAAAGAAAGAATGAAAGAAAGAATGGAAGAGGGAATGAAAGAAAGAAAGAATGAAAGAAAGAAAGAAAGAATGGAAGAAAGAATGAATGAATGAATGAATGAATGAAAGAAAGAATAAAAGAAAGAATGGAAGAGGGAATGAAAGAAAGAAAGAAAGAAAGAATGGAAGAAAGAATGAATGAATGAATGAAAGAAAGAAAGAATGAAAGAAAGAATGGAAGAGGGAATGAAAGAAAGAAAGAAAGAAAGAAAGAAAGAAAGAAAGAATGGAAGAAAGAAAGAAAGAATGAAAGAAAGAATGGAAAAAAGAATGAATGAATGAATGAATGAAAGAAAGAATAAAAGAAAGAATGGAAGAGGTAATGAAAGAAAGAAAGAAAGAATAAAAGAAAGAATGGAAGAGGTAATGAAAGAAAGAAAGAAAGAATGGAAGAAAGAATGAATGAATTAATGAATGAATGAAAGAAAGAATAAAAGAAAGAATGGAAGAGGGAATGAAAGAAAGAAAGAAAGAAAGAAAGAAAGAATGGAAGAAAGAATGAATGAATTAATGAATGAATGAAAGAAAGAATAAAAGAAAGAATGGAAGAGGGAATGAAAGAAAGAAAGAAAGAAAGAAAGAAAGAATGGAAGAAAGAATGAATGAATTAATGAATGAATGAAAGAAAGAATAAAAGAAAGAATGGAAGAGGGAATGAAAGAAAGAAAGAAAGAAAGAAAGAAAGAATGGAAGAAAGAATGAATGAATTAATGAATGAATGAAAGAAAGAATAAAAGAAAGAATGCAGTAAGAATGAATGAAGGAAAGAAAGAAAGAATGAAAGAAAGAATAGAAGAGGGAATGAAAGAAAGAAAGAATGAAAGAAAGAATGGAAGAGGGAATGAAAGAAAGAAAGAATGAAAGAAAGAAAGAAAGAATGGAAGAAAGAATGAATGAATGAATGAATGAAAGAAAGAATAAAAGAAAGAATGGAAGAGGGAATGAAAGAAAGAAAGAAAGAAAGAATGGAAGAAAGAATGAATGAATGAATGAAAGAAAGAAAGAATGAAAGAAAGAATGGAAGAGGGAATGAAAGAAAGAAAGAAAGAAAGAAAGAAAGAATGGAAGAAAGAAAGAAAGAATGAAAGAAAGAATGGAAAAAAGAATGAATGAATGAATGAATGAAAGAAAGAATAAAAGAAAGAATGGAAGAGGGAATGAAAGAAAGAAAGAAAGAAAGAAAGAAAGAAAGAAAAGAAAGAATGGAAGAAAGAAAGAAAGAATGAAAGAAAGAATGGAAGAAAGAATGAATGAATGAATGAATGAAAGAAAGAATAAAAGAAAGAATGGAAGAGGGAATGAAAGAAAGAAAGAAAGAAAGAAAGAATGGAAGAAAGAAAGAAAGAATGAAAGAAAGAACCTAAGAAAAAAAGAAAGAAAGAAAGAAAGAATGGAAGAAAGAATGAATGAATGCATGAAAAAACGATAGAAAGAATGAAAGAAAGAAAGAACGAAAGAAAGAATGAATGAAAAGATAAAAGCGTTTAACATTCCCTTCCAATCCTTCATAAATAATACAATATTATGTTTTGAATGCATAGAAAAACAAAAGATATACGCTACTTGATTTCCGCGAGCAAGAATGAAAGAAAGAAAGAAAGGAAGAAATAAATAAAGAAAGAAAGAAAGAAAGAAAAAAAGAAAGACAGAAGAGTTTAACTTCTGTTTCAGCGAAATGGAAAATGTTTTCAATTTCAAATCTCTTCATTTGTACCCCCTTACTTCTTAAAATAACACCCAGCCTGCATATTTATGATTCTTATTGCAATATTTTGTTAAAGTTGTTAAGCTCAAATATTTATTGATGTGTACTTGTACGGATATCATAGAACTCACCATGAACTTATTCAATCATTAACTGAAAAATTAAGATTCATCAGAAAATTCAAATTAGAAAAACCTTTATATTTTCACGAGTTTTTTCTCGTTGTTATTATTATTATTATTATTATTAGTAGTAGTAGTAGTAGTAGTATTCAGACTAATTATTATGATGAGGCTGGTGTTTGCAATGCAGCCTATAAATTCGAACCAAAAATATGAATTACAGTCAAAAAAAAAAAAAAATATCGCGGAAAATATACTAAATTAAGCTATTCGTGTTTTGCACCGCCAAGTCGAAATTAAATTTTTAAATTATGTTTTATTTATTTTTTGATTGACTACTTCATAAATATTTATGAAATTCATTTAATTTTCACTCGAGGAAATAACTTTAGAGAATAATAATTAAAAAGAAAATAACAACAAAAAAAAAAAAATACACAGGCAAATCAACACACGCATACCTCCCCCCTCTCGCTCTCTCTCGCTCTCTCTCTCTCTCTCTCTCTCTCTCTCTCTGACTGTGTGTGTGTGTGTCTGTATGGGTCTTTACATTTATGTGTTTAGTAAAAGACTCAATGCTTTCAAACAAAAATACATATATAAACCCAAACACATATACATTCTTTCTCTTTTTCTCTCTCTCTGACGCTCTCTCTCTCTCTCTCTCTCTCTCTCTCTCTATGTATATAAATATATATATATATATGTGCGTGTGTGTGAGTGTGTGTGAGTGTGCGCGCGTGTGTGTGTATGTGTGTGCGTGTGCGCCTGACCAAGCGTCTGCAATTAGTAGACAGGTATCCTCGAACTTTATACCTTATATATGTAGTTTTTTTTTTTTAACTTATATATTATATATATATATATATATATATATATATATATATATATATATATATATATATATATATATATATATATATATATATTCAAAACATGCGAGGGTTTGATGTACTATATATGTAGTAGTTTTATTTTAACTACTAATATATATATATATATATATATATATATATATATATATATATATATATATTTTAAAACCTGCGGAGGGCCGATGGGGACTTTGTGGCACGTTGTGCACCCTGTCTGTGTATTCGGCCCTTCAAAAGTGCGGACAGTTCGACACAAAAAGCTTCATCACTATAATTATATATAATATGTGAAAATATATAGAAAATAGGAAGGAACTGGTTATGTAAATAAATAAATAGTTTAAATACCCTACAAAAAAGATAACCCTTTATGAAGTCGTCAAAAAACAAACGTTACGACAGTTTTTTTATATGCACAAATCCCTTTCATGAAAAAATAAAATAAATAAATCTCCATAGACATGCAAACTAGACGAGTGTTAATACATCTTCCGTTTAAAATTTAGACACCCCTACCTTTCCCTGACTTGACATCTATGAAAGTAACTCTATACTGATACTTATTATTAACACCCAACACACGCCTACCCAATTTAAATAATTCGCCCTAGCTGTTTCCATGGAAATTTTTAAAACACGTAAATTTCAGAAATACGTTATTCCAAAAAAAATTTCGCTTGAAGATGGAACAGAGCTCATTTTAACTCAATTTAATTCAAAAAATTTTATTGAAGTTTTCGGCTCTTGTTTTGAAACATGAGACTTCTTATGTCTCGATTTGGAATCATATTTTTAAATAAATAATTATATATATATATATATATATATATATATATATATATATATATATATATATATATATATGTAAAATATACATAGAATGTTCCAATAAATTAGGCTGATTTTAAACGTGAATTAAGTTTAAGCGGCTTAACAATCAAACAACGTGGTAAAGTTATCGAAGCCTATTACGAAAATGAACGTTCAAACAGAAATGAGTCAAAAGAATCGACCAACCGAGAGTGCAATTGGAAAAAATGGTTGTAAATTCAAACACCATTGCGTGGTAGTTTACGCCGTTCAGTTGAAAACACTGCTACAGTGCACAAGTTTATGTCCGAAAATCCAGACACCTCTATTTGTCATCGCGCACAGGAATTGAACCTCTCCACAACAACATTACATCGAATTTTGACAAAAGATTTGTCTCTACACACTTACAAAATTAAATTAACAAAAGAACTGTAACCTGCTAACCATTTGGTGTGCCGTACATTCATCAATTGGGTGCACGAGCCAAGACAAGCCGATGAAGATTTTTTTGCAAAAAATCCTCTTTAGTGAAGAAGCCAATTGTTGTCTTGGTGGTTTCTTTAATAAGCAGAATTATTGCATTTAGGCTGATGAAAATCCAAGGAAGATTGTTGAAAAGCCACTGTATACACAAACGATGTGTATTTTTTGCTAGCGGAATCAGTGGGCCGTTACTACGAAAATGGACGTTCAAATTTATAAATTTGAACGTCCATTTTTGTATTAGGCTTCGTTAACTTTAACACGTTGTTTGATTGTTAATCTTTCCATGGTTGAAATTGCCAAAACTTAAGTTGTGAAATCTGAAAGAAAAAGAAAAAAAATCATTAGAAGTTTAAACTTAATTCACATTTAAAATCGGTCTAATATAATCATATGGCATATTGTTGATAGCAGGCCCGAAAAGAAAATTACAAAAACTCCTGCACGTAGAACTTACTTTTGAGATGACCCCAAAGTAAGAAATGTAAAGGCGTCAAGTCGCATGATCCTGGTGTTCAGTTGACTTTGCTGTTTCGAGAGATAATGTAACCTGGAAACTACTCATTGCATTTCTGTTTGTAATAGGCTTCCATAACATTAACACGTTCTTTGATTGTTAATCTTTCCATGGTTGAAATTTCCAAAGAAAAAGAAAAAAATCATTAAACGCTTAAAATTAATTCGCATTTAAAATCTGTCCAATTTGTATTAGTAGTTTATTATTATTTTTTTCCTTTTGCATTCTGTTCAGTACAATCCCTTACCTGGTCGTTATTAGTGCTAATAAGATGTGCAGTTCCAGCCAATACAATTTTCTGGAATCTCTTGTAGACAGGTGATAGCCGTAGACATTTTAATGTCCTTGTCTGTACCTATCTTAATCCTAAATAGGACTCTAATTATTTTACGTGTAACTGTCGATTGAAGATAACCATTTTTTTTTCAATTTTTTTCAGAATCCTTATATTTTGTTATTTTGACATTTTTTAACATACAGATATTTTACTTGGGGTTTCTGCATTGTTTGTTGTATTTTTTAATTATCAGTTTAATAATAATAATAATAAGCACAGCATGGGAATGTGGAACACCAAACTATACCTTAGTCACACCGGGGGCACTGCCATATCCAACCGTCTGAATATCCGACGTGGAATCTTTCAAGGAGACTCTCTGTCACCCCTTCTGTTTTGTTTATCCTTAATCCCTCTTACACATGAACTGAACAACAGTAGCTATGGTTACAAAATAAATAAGAAAATATTCAATCACCTACTCTACATGGATGATCCCAAACTCTTTGCCAAAGACGACAATGAGTTGAAAGGCCTCCTCAATATTGTAAAATACTTCAGTGACGACATAGGTATGGACTTCGGATTAGATAAATGTGCAAAAGTAACATTCAAGAAAGGTAGAATTACAGAAACACCCTTAATAGATTTAGATTTTGGCACAAAGATTAGGGAACTGGAGCATGATGAAGCTTATAAGTACCTAGGAATTAGCGAAGGAGATGGCATACAACACCCCCAAATAAAGGACAAAATAAGAAAAGAGTACTACAGGCGTGTACATCTGGTACTAAATACTGAGCTAAACTCAAAAAACAGAATATCAGCTATAAACACATTGGCTGTCCCTGTGGTGCAATACTGCTTTAATGTCCTTAACTGGACCATAGCTGAAATTAAGCGAATGGACACCAAAACGAGAAAGCTTCTCACTTGCTATCGCATGCATCATCCCAAAGCTGATGTTGATCGTCTGTATGTGCCCAGATCCGAAGGAGGCAGAGGATTAGTTCAACTAGAACTGTCCTACAAAACTACAACAATTGGCCTCCAAAGATATTTGGAAACTCCAGAAGACTGGATGATGGTATGCGTCAAGGAACATGAAAGTAGTAAGCGTCTTTACTCCGTAATGAAAGAAGCCAACAAATTCAAAATGGTGTTTCAAATGGGCGTAGAGATGTAACTACAGCACAATACACTGGCTGAAACTGCAAAATACCTAAAAAAGACAGCAAAGACGAATGCAACCGACCAGATACAGAAGCGATGGCAAGATAAACCGCTTCATGGCCAATACTCTGCCTGTACCAAACAAGCTGACGTAGACAAAACCCGTACCCATCAGTGGCTACGTGGTGCAGGGTTGAAAGCGGAAACTGAAGGTTTTATCCTTGCTGCGCAGGACCAATGCTTGATAAGTAGGAATTACCAAGCACATATAGTAAAATGTTGTGTCAGCCCAAAATGCAGATTCTGTGATAAATATCCAGAAACGACTGATCAACTTGTATCAGGTTACACGGTGTTGGCACCCACTGAATATAAAACCCGACATGACAGAGTGGGTCAATATCTGCACTGGAAAATCTGCAACTTCTACGGGAAGGAAACTGAAAGAAAATGGTATGAACACCACCCAGACCCGGTTACGGAGATAGGACCTGTTACAATTCTATTGGACTACACAATACACACT